CCGCGACGGCTGCTATACTCCAACTTGTAGTCGGCTGGCTGTTACTTTATAACTCGGAATGTCTTCGGCGGTAGCCACACTGGAACTCGAACTCGAACTGATCGATACGCACTGTGCATCCACTTATATAGCTGCAGTGCTTGCCTGTGGCGTAATGAGTGCCACGTCACAGTAGGACGTTGATTACGGTTACGCTAGCGTTGCGCGTTACGTCACCGCGTGACGTCACCGCGGAGGGGAGGGAGGGAGCGCTTCGTTACCGCCACGCACCTGTGGCCTGAGTCGCCACGTTGCTGCTGGGTAGGGAGGGGGTCTCCATTCCGCAACATGTCACAATACATTAGGGTGGGATAACAAATACAAGTGACATGGTGACAGGTCCAGTTTGTACGAGGGATCGTCCAAGACTGTCCAGAATATGGAGCACAGCACATACAAGACACTGCAGACCATACAGGGACAGACATCATGCACAATGACAGCCCTCCCCATGGGCATGCCAGGACATTTTCTCTTGACGACTTCACATTATTTTATGGGATGAATTTTGTAAACATTTGGAAATCAACAAAAAAGGGCAGTAAAAACTCTTTTTTAATTTGAAAAATGATACATATTACAAGAAAATTAATATGTAACTGAAATGACAAAATGGATTTACAGTAAAAACTAAGAGAGTCAAGAGGATTGCCAATATAAAAAGTGTAATCACTTAATAAGCAGGTATACTGTGGATAATTTCAGTTTTCATGTCTCTCCCCCTGGAATTAAATATGCCAGAGTAACAAAGAAATCAAGGGTGCAAAATAAAATTCGGTAAACCGTGGGAAAACATAACTTCAGGGTTTCACTGCAGTCAATTAATCTGTAGGTAATATAAATGTTATGACATCATCACTTGGTTCCTGCTCCTTCATCTCTTCCTGGTGATAGTTTCTTACATGTTTCTGCATATGCTGCTTCTGCCTAAATGTCTTATTACATATCTGACACACATGTGGGCGCTCGCCTGAGTGGGTAGTCTTGTGATTTTTCAGAGAATATGAACGGCGGAATGAAGCTCCACAAATGTCACAAGGGAATGGACGTTCATCACGGTGGATTCTGAAAAGAAATTTCCACTTTCATTATTGTCTGTTTCAATACCACACCCTGTAAGGAAAAGAAGATGGTGACGAACTCCATTTAATGTACCCAACAGAATAAGTTTAGTTCATACTCTTACCTAATGACGGAAGTAGAGCCAGTTAACGATTTTGAGGGGGGGAAATGAGATGATAGAAATTGTCCAACATATGTTTTAGTTTAACAAACACTTCAAAATTTCAAGTGGTACCACTGTTTCAACTCACCTGGTGTGTTCAAACCACATGGCTCGCGTTCGAAAAGATTTAGGGCACTGCTGACAAGAAAATGGTCTTTCTCCCGTGTGTTTGCGAACATGGTCATCTCTGTCTCCTCTCTGGAGAAAGGTTTTGCCACAATATTCACATGAATGAGGTTTATCACCCCGATGTAACCGCAGATGTGATGAAAGGCTTGAAATATGTACAAACGTCTTCTTGCACACAGGGCACACATGAGGTTTTATTCCATTGTGCGTTTTCTTGTGAGAATCCAGAGACAACTGAAAATGGTTTCAAAATTAACCAATGAAGTGAAACAAAATTTCAGAAGTATGTATATATGTATGTATGTATTATGGGAGGGGGTGGGTTTCCCCATGCACTTAGACCAGTTAAAATTTCAGAAGTAAGTTGTAACAACAGTGTTTTTCCCCGGAGTGCCAAACAGTAAGGAAAAGAACACAAAAGCTTGAGCAACACAAAGTAACAGGAAGATCTGGTCACCATTAGGCCAACTCTAAAAACATCCAAGAACCATATTTTATAGAGATCTTCTCCCAGCATTTTTTTTATTGCTAGTGGGGTGGGACTAAGTCCCTTGTACTTCAGCCACTTCTGGCCTATTGTACCAGCCCGATGATAGGTGAGGGTGATTGTGGAGCAATTGGTGGAATGAAGATTGGCAGGGGAAACCGAAGTACTCAGAGAAAACCTGCCCCAGCGCCACTTTGTCCACCACAAATCCCACTTGACCAGACCCAGGATCGAACCCGGGCCGCCACGGTGGGAAGCCAGTGACTAACCGCTTGAGCTATGGCACAGCCTAATTGCATTATTTTAGTTTAATTCTAAATATTCTAACAGGTATGTCTAACCTTAATTTAAAAAATATATATACACTAAAACTTGGTTATAGCAACATCGGTTTCTGCGACACCTTGTCTACTGCGTCAAATATTCAATGGTATGAACTAATTCCTCATAAAGCAACTGTTTTTATACCTTGCTTAGTATGACATGCACAAATGCATCAACCTCATATGTAACGTCATTTTCATTCCTGAATTTTTCTGATATCGTGGGAAAGTTCAATGTGTCTGCCCACCCTCACTTTCTCTACTTGCTGACGTGACTGTCCTGGAAGAATACGACCGTGGGCTGCAAGAGGAGCGTGCGTTTTATGCGAAAACAAGGGTGTGGGGTGGGACTGCGTGAATAGTGCAAGAGGATGCAGCAGGTTGTTAACTGCATTCCTTTCCTAGAATCTCGTCTAACAGGACCTCACATTGTCTACTTACCCTATAGTGTTCCTGCCTAAACCCAGAGAAGTGCAGTAGCGAAAACATGGCAATGAAAAGGAAAGTTTTAAGCATTGAAGAGAAAGTTAAAGTGATTCGTGAAATATTGTGTGTATTGTCAGTGAAAAGCGCTGTAATATGTCCTTGATATTACACATTTGGGCAATTCCACGTTAATGTTACGTTAGTCTGTACTTAACTAAGTATTTCACTAAAAAATGCAACAATTAATTTCGGTTTTTGGTAGATTTTTATGTGACTAACATAAGGCTACTGTGGAAGTGCCCATTTCGGTTACAACGACATTCGTTTATAACGACACTATTTTTAGGTCCCTTTGATGACGTTATAACCAAGTTCTACTGTACATATATATTGTAACGTGTCTGCAATCCAGAAGAGTCACTTCTATGGAAACGCTAGAACAGACCGTTGCATAGGAAGTAACAATAGCGACACTGTAATCCTAACAGTGAGCCGTTGTGTCGAGAACATCGAATCTCCATGGTTACGACGAATACACGAAGCGTTCCCACAGAGACAACGCAATAACAATGGGTCATTGCGTAGGAATCGCGGAACCAACAAAGCAACGTTTCCACTGCTATAACAGAGGGTTCATTTGCCTACCAGCAGCTGAGAGGATAAATAGCCCAGCTTCGATGAGAAGCAGCCAGTCTTGGAATATCCGCCGCAGAAGAGAGTCTGCTATAAACCGCCAGGGAAGACAGTCGAGTATCGGCCGAGACATTGTGTAGGCTAACAATTGTAAAGCGTGTGATCGTGTAAGTGTGAAGAACAATAAAGGTTCTACAGAATTTGAGACCTACGTGAATTTATTTGTAGCGTGACATGCAAAACACGCTACAATATATTGAACCAAATCTGACTCAATTTTTACTAACAGAAATTTTATAACAGTTTTGTACTTTATATGTATTCCATCACCATTTGTGTACAAGTATTCCTCAAGAATCACCTGATGATGGCCTACCTGGGCCAGTGAGTCACTTAATAAATACATCTGTTTGTGTGATGGTAACCCCTCCATTTTTATTTGTAAGATAAAGTTAAACTAGGTCTCAGAAAGGCAGGATGTAAGAACATGACAAGGATTCATCTGGCTCAGAATAAGGTCCATTGGTGGGCTTTTGTGAACATGGTAATGGACTTCAGATAGCATAAAAGGCAGGTGATTTCTTGACAAAATGCGAATTACATGTTTCTCAAGGACTCCATGAAGTTAGCACATGCACTAAAATTTTCTTGGGTGATAAGCTGTGTCGATCAACCATGATGGTGGTGTCCAAGGAGATCTCTGAAATGTTGGCTTTTAGTTCAATTTTGACATCGCAAACCACCTGAGAAAATGTTAGCATATTTATTCACTGTGAAAGCTTCAAATCTTACATGAGTTAGTACATGTTTCATGTAAACTGAAATGAGCCTGAGCCTTGCCAGTGATCAAGCAATTTTTGACACACACGCGCATGCAATAATATAGCTGGTAGACATAAAAACAGATTAAATGTGATGTGGCCAAGAATTATGTCACCATATTAGGAATTTTTTCTACATTTCTTTCACTAACCAAATGCAGTAAATTTCCAATTATCTGGAATATATGGGGAATGGAGTATGCTGATTACATGCATCTGCCAGATGCACAAGAGAAATTCTTACAGAAACCCAGGAAGTGATCACAAATTCAACTAACCTGTACAGTGATGGCACCTATGTGAGGTAGAACAATGGGCTGTGCTCCCAGTGGCAGCTGGGAGAACTTCCATGTGACAGGTGAACATATGCACATCACTAATTTGTTTTGCATAACGTTATGAAATGGATAACCAGCAATTTACTATACTAAACTATGAATGTTAAGGGTGGTAAAAACGAATATTAACTAATGCAAAATGCAACAAAGATTATGTTGATAAAAAAATACCTGACATTTCCCATATATTATGAACAAGTAACTGAAAATGAACGTTTAATGGCTCAGTGAACACTTCATTAAGGTACCTTGCGAGCAAACTGTTTCCCACATTGATCACACTGAAAAGCAGGGCCAGGATTATCTCCAGTGTGAAATATATTAACATGAGCTAAAAGTGACTGTTGGCTCACATAACGCTTCTCACAGCATTCACATTTCCATCGCTTTCGTTCATTTGCTGGTAAGCTACTATCCAATGGAGGCGGTTCTGTCTCACAGTGACGTGTTTTTCGGTGGTATGCTAAACTCCACGAGTTCACAAACTGCTCAGGACACATCTGTGACAATCAGAATCAAGTGGTCAGAACCACATAACAAATAGTTTGATATGAAATATTCCTTTTCGCAAGACAAAATGATCTTCTGAAACCTGTGGCAAGGATTACTTTCTATAAAGTTTATCCTTATTTTATTCATGCAAAAGTTTTCAAAATAACTTTTTTTTTATTTTCTAATAATAAATATTCCATGCTATTAAAACAATAAGCACATAACCCTCCAATTTTCCATTTTCATTAAGAGTGACAGATTAAAAACTCAACATTGGAAGATAATTTTATTTAAAAAGAAGCATGCATCCTTTTCTTATTCATTCAAATCCTATATGTTAAATATATTTTTTATTTATCTTTTTGGGCTAAGTACAAGCCCCTAAGTTAAGACTCAGTAAAGAATAACTTCTACACTTTGTGCATGTATGTGTGATTGTGGCATGAAGTGGAAGGCTGCCAAACACTGGTTAAGGTTCCTGCCATGCAGCTCTCTCAAGGTCTGGCCTACCAAGTCTTCTCTAGCTTTCTGACCAATAGGGTTCACCTCCACATGAACCATGATACAATTTATGATCTCAAAGAGACTGGGTATAATTTTGAAGCAATCTGAGGTATTAAAAAAGTTCATCTCCCAAACAAAGATAATACCAAGACAAGGAATGATGTTTTGGTACTGAAATGGGTTTCGGGTGCAGATGTAATTTTATTGTCAAGATCCAGTAACTGTTGGGTGTTAGTGGGAAACCTACAAGTTATTGATTCTGATCATTTTCCACAAAGAACATAGTTCACAATGAAACTATGTTTGAAAAATTTTAAACACTATAGCTTTTGCTGCTGCAAACCATTTGTGCAGTTATAAGGCTGTGAGAAAGCAATTTCTGTCCAAACTCATGAGGCCTATTTGGCTTGTTTTGGTCTCACAATTTCACTCCCTAGAGTCGGCTGTGTAATTCAGAATATATCTTATCTATTTTACCATGAATATTTATATTTATAAGTCCAAAAATAAAAATTTATAAACAATTTATTGCTTCAAAAGTACTTAAAATTGAACGAATATCAATAACTTAAGAAAACCAATTATTCCTGCATCAGAATGTGGTAAATGTGTCAAAAGGCTAGACAAGAAGTAATTTTGAACATATAATTAACAAGTCAGTGAGTACACAAAAATGTAGGTGGTGAAAATGTCCATTTATTGAAATATGTACACACCTTGCATTTGTACATGTGTTTTACCTCTGCATGTACCATCTTACGATGAACTGAGAGGTATGTCCAATGGATATATGCCTTATCACAAGAGTCACACAGATAAAACTTTGGAATTGAGAACTCATCTTTCTTATCATAGATGCCATGAGTCACTTTATGAGTTGCTACACGAGCAAATGTTGCAAAACCTGCACCACATATGTGACATTTGAATGGAAAAGACTCATCAGTATGACTTGATCGATGTGCACTGAGAAAAGCAGGATCAGCATAAATACGTTCACAGAACTCACATCGGTAAACCTAAAATGAAGACACCAGCAGATGAACATATACCTAATTACAATAATATACAATTCTGAAGAACATTACCAATGAAGACAATAAAAAATATATGTAATGTTTAATTTTCAGTTTCTCTATTCTTTTTTATTTGAACTATTTGCACCTTTATTTCATTTTCCTGCTACAGTTATTTTAATTTAATTTAAGTTTAAGTTAATTGAAGTTTCAGCTGTGGCTGTCTATAATTTCAAAGCATAATCATCGCCGCATCATGTGTTCTGACCTTGAATGTAACAGTACTGTTCATGACGCTCGTTGGAAAATGGCGGTTGAACAGAGATCAAATTTTGTTTAAAGTTAGGCAAAACAACTGAAGAAGAGTACAAAATGATGAAAAGTGTGTATAGTAGTGATTGCTTGAGTCGCTCCAACATTTTTCGATGGTATGCTGTATTTTGTGACGGCAGGGAGGACACTGAAGATGCTCCATGTGCATCAAAGCCAAGAACAAGTTGCACTGAAGAAAATGTGAAAAAAGTGACCGAAATCCTTGCATCAGACAGATGTGTTTCTGCAAGACTTATTGAGGAGCTTTTGGGAATAACAAAACGTACTGTGCATCAAATCTTGGCCGAGGATTTGGGCAGATGGAAGGTCTGTGCGCGGTTTGTACTGCACGCGCTGTCAGGCGATGAAAAACAGGCCAGAGTGGAACACTGCAAAGACATGTTATGGTCAACCCAAAGTGATACAAAATTTATAAAACTGATTGTTACTGGTGATGAGACATGGTGTTTTCAATATGAGCCTATCACAAAGTGGCAGAGTGCAACGTGGCTGAGTCCAAAGAAGCCGAAACCAAAGAAAGTGTGCATGCAAAAGAGTCGAGTAAAGACACTGCTAACCGTTTTCTTCCATTTCAAAGGAATCATTCACAAGGAGTTTCTGCCAGAAAGTCAAACAGTGAATTCTGATTATTATCTCGGAGTCCTCAATCGTTTGTGGGTGAGAATTCATCAAATTCAACCTGAATATCGAGAGCAAGGTTCCTGGTCGCTCCTCCACGACAATGCCCCTCCCCACAAATCGAAGATCATGCGTGATTTTTTGGCCACAAAAGGGATCCCAGTCCTTGATCACCCTCCATATTTGCCAGATTTGGCTCCAGCAGATTTCTGGCTGTTACCAAAAGTTAAGTTGGTGATGAAAGAAGACCGTCACGACACCATCCAGGACATCCAAAGGGAATCTACTGCAGTTTTAAATGCGATTCTACAAAAGGAGTACAGTGACTATGTTCAAAAACTTTTCAATCAATTCCAACTATGTATTGATTCAGAAGGAGTCTATTTTGAATAAAAAGAGTGAAATTTTGAAAATAATTCACGTCTTGTATTTTTAATGAACACAGTCCTAACAGAACCTGGACATACTGTGTATGTCAAGTGACTAAAGTGAAATTTCATCTACAAGCCAGTCCTGCTGTATGGATTCAACTTAACCATGAAGAAACTGTTTTCACATGTCCTTTCAGAAGCACATTTGTAAACAATCTGCCTTATACAGCAGATAAGTTTTGTTATTTATCTGTAGTTTATTTAATGATGCTGTTGATAACTCAGACTACATACCACTGAATGATTCAATTTAAGATACAACCCTGATATTTTTCTAGAGAGCCCTCACTGGGACAGCCAGTGCCCTTGGTGAACGTGGCACCTCTCAAATATATGGCAGAAGTGTTACCACTTGCTCAGTAGGTTGATCAGGATTTCTGTCTTCAAGACACTTGCAAAATTTCAGCAAATCTCCTCTGATTTTTTAACTTCAGCTTACCACTGCACTGAAGTTCATGTTTTAAAGTAGATTCAGTACATTCATATTGTACTTGAAAAATATTCTGAAGCATGTTGTGCCCTGATCAAACCCACAGATCTGTCTGTTAATGGCTGTTGGAAGATGGTCAATGTGATACATTGTAAACATGTAGAATAAATTTCTTCTAAGGCAGATAATATAAAAAGTATCTGTTATTCTGCAAGTTATAGGATAGAACTTTTGTCAGTAAGATCTACAGTGATTTAAAGCCATTATTCAATGATGAATAAATTCTTAATTCTTAATGCAATGCAACATTTTTTCTACTTTCAGACTCTACTTTGTGGTGTTTTCAAAGAAAACACCATATACTCATAAAAAACATTAGGAAGATGGGTGCATATGAGTACTCTTCATCCAAGCCTATTTATAATAAACTAAAAGATTAGCATACTTTGTATCTTCAAAGTCAGCATATTTTGAATCCAAGCACAGATTTTCTGCAAATAAATCAACAAATACAATGAACTTAATTCAGTGAACCAGCTGGCTTATAAAATTCTAGTAATCTTACAGTAGCATGTAATTTTGGTCTCACTGAATTGAATTTAATTTATTTGCATTCCATAAAACCTAAGCAGGTTAATCATACCTTTCGATATAGAACAAGTCAAAAGAATACCTACTGGTACAAGTAATTTTATCTTAAACTAATATAGCTTAATTCTACATTATTCTCTATTTACATTTAGGTATTCGTCTGCAGAGTAGAAGGAATGCGCAAGCAGATAATTCTTTAGCTCTGATTTAAAATGTTTAGTATCATTACTCAAGTTTTTGATACTTTGTGGAAGACTACTGTACACTTTTATGTCAGAAAAGTAGACTCCTTTTTGATATAGTGATAAGTTTGATGAAGGTAGATGGAAGTTATATTTTTGTCTAATATTCATGTTATAGATATTGGAATTTAATTGAAATTTATTTTTGTTGTACACAAAAAAATAAGAGAAGCGATAATATGTATTGTGATTCAAGAGGTAGAATTTTTAATTTCTTAAATAAATCTCGATTATAATGAATGGGCCTACATGCCCAAGAAATAAATAATAACTCCAACCAATTAAAAAGATTAATGTAAATGAAAAATATTTCTCAGACACACACATACTATTTGACCAAAAAACTAGTTCAGGGTGCCTCTAGTGACAGGATCAGCTTTAAGGTTGTTAATTTTGATACACTGAGATTTGCAATCACAGTAAAAGAGGAATTTATCTGCAGAACACATACTGAAAACCAGCATTTCCTGAAGTGCGGTTTGCAAACTACTATCTTGTGGGAATAGTAATACTACGTTAACACTTCTGTAATTTCACATGACTCTCAGAAACTAAATTACAGAAAAAAGATTCTTTACTAAAACTGTTTAGGTTGTTACCTTGTCCATTGGATAAAGGTGGAACACACATTCACTTTCACTGGGCAGTGAATGTCCAATCTGAGCATGTGCAACAGCTTTGGGTTCATTTGGAAAAGTCTCTCCACAGACTGTGCACTGGAAGCATTCCTGAGGATCTGTAGTCTTCTGCAGCTCATGTGACATCAAGTGTTTCTTGAGTCGTGAGTTTCGGTTTAGGTATTTGCCACAGATGTGGCACTGATATGGCTTCACTTCCATGTGAGACACTGAATGTTCATTTAATGTCTGGAAATAGTGACACCAGGCCATTTACACTATAAAAAAAGTGCCCTCCTACAAGTGTAGCACTTTCCAAACCATCATTATCAACTCGTTCATGAGTTATGATGTGATGGAGGGCAAATTAAAGCAAACTTTTAATAAACTGGCAGATGAAAAAGAGTTACTATTTAGGGCTTAAATACTGAATGTAATTATATTTATCTGTGTAATTCTGTTGTTTCTTTTAAAAGGGAGAAAATATAAAGACATTCATACAACACACAAGTGCTAATGTTAATACCATGATATGCAGTACTGTCATAATAGACTGTATTGCAGAGTAAATGTGCATCAGTTCAGTATTGTTTCAGCTTCCCACCAAAGATCTCTTCAAAAGGCAGTGTAACAAGAAATAAAACTAAAGGCACATATACACCAAAAGTCATGCATGCCACTGAGATCTTTCTGGGGGGCAGGGGGAGCACCAAGATTTTGATACAAATTTATGTTTAGACCATTTAAAAATATTTATATAGATCTGCCTTTTTATTCAGGATGGAATAAAAGATTTAAAAATAATTTTACTGTTTGGTATTAATATTTGATCTACTTTCTTCTTTTACAATTTTGATCCTTTCCAAAAATTTGTGGGGAGGGGGATGCCTGAACTGTAGTATTCGAGAAAATGTACATACCTGTTTATCAAGAAATGTCTTGTTGCAGACTTCACATTTATGATGTCGCAACTTTCGGTGAGATCGAAGGTGGCCCCGAAGAGCCGCTCTGCTATTGAAGTGCCCTCCACATTCATTACAAATAAATGACTGCCCTCGATGAGTAAATCTGAACACAACAGTTAATGTGTAATATTTTTCATATTCTCCTCCTCTAAAGATTTTGGCAAGGTGAAAATATACATGTTGCTGGGACACCCAAGGAAGGTCATAGACATTACCAGAACAAGTGCTAATAGGAACATTGTGCACTCTTTCCTTTCTAACAGCCAGTTTGTAACAAATAATCTGAAGCTGAAAGCTGTCATCTGTCACTCCATATCTCATGTATATTCACTTCAGCAGGTAATTCATTTCAAGGATCTCAATGAACTTCGAATCCTTTTGACAGATTCTGATATTATACAAGTATGAAATACCATGTGTAAGTCTCTTTCATTTTAAGGTTCATATTACTTAAGCACCTAAATGTATTTATGAGTGTATCTCACTCCGCATTAACCCATGAGAAAACTGCCTCAAATAAACACAAGATTTACGTCTTTAATATCTATATTTACCAATTTCTAGAAACTCACTAATATGATCATAATTGCACCTAGAAGTGTTGTCAACATTCCTGTTACTGCTCCCACATGTAAGTCACACTGTTCCTGAAAAGAAACTGCATATCTCTACTCAGTGAACAGGCACTGTGCATAATCAAAACCTACCTTTCACACTTGCCTGTTCTCATGGGTTATAAGCAATAGATAAGGCTGACATTATAGCTAGCAAATGTAGGGTTAAAACAGACAACACGTTTGTCCAGATACACTTCATAATTTCATCTAAATAAAAATTAAGAGCCCAAAATGGAACAAAGATTGTTATCAGTATGTTGTCTAAATATCCAGTGATATGTCATATAAGCAAAACAGTAATTAGAAGCTATGAATTTCCTACATTGTGTATTTTGCCAAAGAGTTATCAGTATACTGAAATAACTCAGCCTCTTTAAATGGTGATTCTAATAAGTAACCATTCTCATCTCACTTATGTACTAAGCAGCTTATCTTAAAATAACAGCATTGTCTGACACCTGAATAAATACTGCATTGTTATTCAAGAAGAGATCAAACATGCTTAATGTTATTAAATTGTTTCTATAAACAATTAGGAATGGTCACTAACCTAACATGGTCATATAAGTTGTCCTCTTCTGTGAAAACCATTCCACAAGGGACACACTCTAGAGAGCGGGCATCAGGATCATGGAACTGGCGATGGAATACAAGACGCTCCTTGGTGCTGAAAGACTGGCCACATGTTTTGCAAGCCAGCTGGTCAGGCACAGAGTTCATTGGAATACACACATGGGATTTCAGGGCTCGCTGGGAAGCACAATGCCGACCACAAATAATGCAGACATGAAGCAATCGTGCATCCTGGAGGATTAGGTTTCATTATGATTCAATAAAATTCGTGTATGTGTACAAGTATCTAACCTTTCTTGTAAATAACATAATGAATTATAAGATTAACAAATGAACTTCAGCACCCATACTGTCAACCTGTCCCAGAAATGTAGGCAATATTTGAGATTATTACTGTGCCTGATACTACAGAAAAATGACACTGCAATGGTTGAACACATCAGATGGGATATAAGTGTAAAGATTTTGTACCCATGCTTAACTAATTAAGCACTATGACATGAAGGCATATGAGACTCGAACTCTGAACCCTTGGCCATCCAGCCCTTAGCCAGTCGCTGTACCAACTACGCTATCCTGGCTCCCAAAATGATGGAAGAAACTTAATTAAAATGCTTTATAATCAAACATTCTATTATGTTGGATGCAGAAGCAACAGCCATTTGATTTTACTATGTCTTACTGCGATAGACATAACAGTAGGTTAATGACACATAGTTCTGCCTGTTAGCAGACTGGGAATTCTGGGTTTTTCATCACTGATAACATCATTTTAAAAAACCAATATTTATTAATTATACTCATATATTGGTGGCCCAGGTTTGATCCCGGGGTAACTGTGACATTTTTATGTCACATGTTACAGGTGGTAATGACGCCATCCTTGATGAGGTTGGCCGAACCATGGCTGTCTCTTTGGTGGGGACACATCATGGACCAGGGATGCATTGGGACATGGCTCTGGGACACCTCCTCATGGTTCCACCGGGCAACAACAGTCTCGGAATCTGGATCAGTATAACCTTCTAAGGCTGGCGGCCAAGTTCCCATAAAGGGCGATGGCTATATGACCAGAGCCTCCCAAGTGGCATCATAACGACTCTTAGGTGTCATTAAGGTGTACCCAGGACGAATGCAGGAGAGCACTCCTATGGGAGTAGCTTCGGCTATTTGAGTTGTCTCCCTAGAGTACCAATAAGGTGACACAAGCCTTAGGGCTCAACACTCTAAAACAGTTTGACCAACCCATGGAGATGTGGGAATGGGGGAGCTCATAAGCTACCCCCAGGGGCAACTCTCTCATGTAGATTGCCCTGGTTGCAACCTCATGACTAACTGGTGTTGCACTCCCATTAATCATCTGGGATGCCCCTCTCCCCCCAAACAGGCACTCTTGGTCCTGGAGGCTTGTGAGGGTTTCATTTACTACAGGACCAGACCACCTAAGCCAAGGTGTGAGGCATCGTGCTGAGAGCTGCATAGCACTGGGGTGGTAATCAGCCAGTGTCTTGAACGATTCCCTCAGGGCACCAGGCAGCACCCCGTTGTATTTATGCCTTCCACCCATATGGGGCGCTGTGGGTAGCGACCTTTTAAATCCCCAAAACTCGTGGGACCAAAATGAAAGGAACCAAAAAAAAAAAAAAAACGGTCATAAGGATTTTAAACTGAAGAGAGAACCCCCTCCAAGGGGATCCCTGTGAGAAATGCTTCAGCAGGGGGCTGGAAGCTCTGGTGAACCACTAAGGTACCCGGTGCAACCAGCGAACCTGCTGTTGAATTTTCAACCAAAGGCAGGGACGAACCACTGGTTCGAAACCCACCTGAGGTAAAACCAAAAACTCTACTGGGAGTCAGTAGCACTGACATACCACTACAGGGGGCTAGTACCTCTAGCATACCTGCAGTAGGATTGGAACACCTAGTCGCTGGAGTAAATGGACTCCGTCTAGCGAAAAAAAAGCCTTGTCTGAATGCGCTAGACGGAAGTTGAAAAAGGCAAGAGCTGGGGCAAGCAAAGCAGAAACTGGGGGCTGTCAGCAACCAGGAAATGCAGGCTCGTCCAGGCAGGGAAAAACTCCCACTGGTACCTTTAAGAGGTCACAGTCAGAGGGCAGTACCCCCACAGAAACGGCCAGAACTCCGAAAAGGCCCAGGGACTCTAAGGGACCAGGGACTTGCAAGGAGGCTCTGACCAACATAAAGATAGCTATCTTCAAGGAAACTTATCCTGAGGATAATCTTACTGAAGATGACCAGAATTCCATTCTTGAAGCACTGGGGGAGGTGTTAGGTAGGACTCCAAAGGGAGAACTACCACACCTGAAATCCTACAGACTAGTGGGAGGTGCACTTATTTATGCATGCACCGACCAAGAATCTGGTCAATGATTCACCAAAGTCATTGACAACCACAGGCTGGAATCAGAGGCCAGGCTGAAGGCTACTGATGCCAGGAACCTGCCCAAGCCTGTTAAAGTGGCTCTCCAGATTAGGGACAAAGTTGCCCAGAATCAGGAAGAGAATCAGCCCAGAGTTAAACTCAAGAAAAGCAAGGCAGAACTTAGCAAACTGCAAAGGTTGGCTTGCTTAGGTATCACAGGAGGAATTCGAACATCTCCAACAGCTGCACTGGAGACACTCTTTGGACTCCCATCACCGCATATACAGTTGGAGGCAGAAGCCAGGGCAGGAATCTACCATCTCCAATGCAGTGATCAATGGAAACCTAGATCCGATAGTTTCGGACATGCATACATAACTCAGGACATGAAAGAAGAACCCATATTACAAATGGGGTCTGACAAAATGATACTGAGACATGTACATGAAAAACCCTTCACAGTCAGATTTCCTGACAGGAGTGAATGGGAAGACTGTTTTCGGCCCGATAGGAAAGGGGACTGATCTGGTATACAGATGGTTCCAAGATAAATAAGTGCACTGGAGCTGGTGTGTACTGCTATGGCACAAGCCGGAAACTTAGTTTCAGCCTTGGGCAGTACACAACAGTATTCCAGGCAGAAGTATATGCCATTAAGGGATGTATTATGGAGAATCTAGATAGGAACTACAGAAATTGGAACATCTACATTCTATCTGACAGTCAAGCTGCACTAAAAGCACTTGACAAACACCAGATCAACTCAAAATTGGTCTGGGACTGCCACCAAACTCTCATGGAACTGGCCAAACATAACAGGGTATAACTGATATGGGTGCCGGGGCATGAGGGTATTTCTGGAAAAAAAAACAGCAGACCAATTGGCCAAGACTGGACCTGAACATCCAGTCATAGGACCTGAACCAGCCTCGAGGCATCTCTATAGGAGTTGCCAGAAAGGCAATCAGGGACTGGACATATAAGAATCACAAGAAATACTTGGGATCCTTGACTGGACTCAGGCAAGCAAAGGGAATCACACGAGTTCCCTCTACTAAAAGAGCGAAGGAACTATTGAAGTCAAACAGGAACCACCTACAATGGGTGGTAGGACTACTTACAGGACACTATCACCTTAAAGGACACCCCTTCAAACTGGGACTAAGTAATAGTCCAACTTGTGAGAGGTGTCAAGAAGAAAATGAAACAGCCACACATATCCTGTGCGAATCTGAGGCCTTAGCTTATTTAAGATATTTTATGGAACAAAGTGACTATTTCAATGTCCCCACGTACAAAATCCTACACTTCATTCGAAGCACAGGATTGTTGAGGGGATAATCAGAAGGGGAGGCACAAGAGATCACTGTGGTCGCGGTGCAAGGGCCAAGAAGGCCCACCCCTTATACATTCATTCATTATTAATTATATAGCAGTATATAAGGAAAATCTCACCTTTATATTCTGGTGTATATTCATGTAATGTCTAGTTAAGTCTGTATCAACAGAGAAGGACATTTCACACAGACTACATGGATATGAACGTGTTTCACTGTTTGCATGAGCACGTAATGCATGAATTAAACACTGGTTCAAGTTTATCACAGTTCCACCACACACTAAGCAGCTTACAGGACTATCATCTTCTGCCTTCTCAGACTTTACAATCAAAGGCCCCTGTTTAGTATTTATGGTCACAATACCATGTCTTTCATCACATTCCCTGTTGTTCTTAGCTGCTGTCCCTTCCATACTATTATCATCCTCCTCTTTTACTTTGGTACAGCTTAGTACAAAGGAATTAGAATCAGTATCACCATTAACTTCTGGATCACTATCTTGTTCCATAGGGCCATATTCACAAGCAGAACCATAGTCACCTTTTCTATACCGACTACTTAGCCTGGAACTGGGAGATACATTTAAACATTTCTTTACATTCATATGATTAATTCCTTTTGTATCAGCTCCACTACCCATATCTTCAATGTATGGCTTCTCTGAAGCAGAAAATGTGTCCTTAAGTGTCTGTTTTACAGTAATCATACTTCCGTCACAACAAAGAGGGCAGCTATAGTTGGAAGGCACTGCAATTCTTGTATCTCCTTGACAGTAACCATCACCCAGAATCATATCCACAAGTTCAAGTTCAGAAGAATCTTCAGAAATTAAGCAATTACCTTCCTCATCTTCTGAAGTTAAACTCTCTGATTTGATAGGATTAATTTTACAATAATGTTGGTATGTACTTCTCCTAGATGATAATAATACACTTTTCATATTTGATTTTGAAATGCAATGATTTTGATCATCATGTACAACACTTTCACCCAGTATCTGGTTATATTTTGAAGTTGATCCTGGCTTCAAACTTTCCACAGTAGTATCATTCCTTCTGCAAGAAGCATCTGCTTCTCCATGTGTCCGAAAACGGCATCTAAAATTAAAAAAGAAATGTCTGAAAATATTTGTGAAATTTGAGGTTCTGGTAGCAGTGAATATTAGGATTACTTTTCTAAGACATAACACTGTATAGTTTACTAGAGCGGTAGAAAAGTTTGTTTTTTTGGGGGGGGGGCACAGGTACCTATCAACCAAACTACACAACCAGAAGACTATGGTCTGGAAATTTGTTTATATTGGGAAAAACCAAAAGAAACTATGTAGGGCAATTCTTAAATAAAATTAACCTAATAGCACCAGTTAAAGATTACATCACAGTACTCATAAAGTGAAATTTTCTGCACTATCATATAGTTAGTTATTTAGAGAGGGTGGGTTTCCCCATGCACCGCAACCTGTTTGATCTATTGTGCTTCCCTCTATGATATTCTACCAGTCTCTATACCCTACCGATAAATGGTGTGTACCATCAGTCCCGCCGAGCAAGCGAGTTTGGCCACTTGCTTAGCGGTGTCTATAATGCTTCCACCATCTATCAGAGGTCTTAGAGACTATTGTTGGGCAGGAAACGTCCTGGAATTTGGCTCAGTGATCCCCTTTGGGGATATGAAGTTCTCTTACGTGCCATAAAGTTACGACACGGGACACACAGCTTAAAGTCCCTCCCGGAGGACTTGTTCCCTGAATTTTTCCGCCCTTAAAAATTCGACGACTTCCGCCGGGTATTTGAACCCGCGTACCATAAGTTATAAGGTGGGAATGTTACCTCTAGACTACGGAGGCCGCTGCACTATCATATATCTACTGAAAATGTACAGCTTGTATTAAACACCAAAATTAATTCTGAAGCTGACAGTCAGTGCATTTTGAACATTTAAATACATTTCCTGGAATTTTACAACACAATGCCATCCAAATAGCCCCAGAAATAAAAAACAAATGTTCAAAAGGACATCAAAATTATCCAAAGGACCGTCTGCGTTTAACTCATACATCTCAAATAAAATTTCAAAATGCACCTGCCTTCCTGCACAACTCTGTTTTTTATTTTCTACACAGACGTGAGCAGTTATCCTTTATTTTCATTGGTCATACAGATAATAAGGAACTTCATACATAACTTAGTGAAATGACTAAACAGCTTTTTAATTCCATCATTTGTGACTCCTTATATGTGAAGATACAAAACAGAAATCCTTGAAATCGCTATCATGCAATTCCCAACAAATGATACAAAGTTGGTTGGTTGTTTAAAGGCTCTGTCAATATTGAGACTATACAGCATCAAAACAGCAAATGATCCAAAGGAGAAATATTAAATATTGAGGATCCCATGACAACAAAGGAAAAATGGTTAGTCTATGCAGGGGGAGGTGGGAGGATATTCCAACAATTACTACTGCATTCATAGCAGAATGAATAAAGGTCACATTGCTGGGTTACAAACTACTATAATTGCTTATATTTATAACAATTTTCAAACAATTCTGATATGATTCTTACAAAAGTAAAATATTTTTAAATGTTCTGTAATTACTACAGACTTGTAGAGCTTCAAGCTTCCTAGTGAGAAGAAACATCTGGGTCATGTAACAGAATGGTACATATTATGTCCCTTTAATTATTATTATTATTATTATTGGAGGGGGTGGGTTTCCCCATGCACTGCAACTAGTTATTAATCTACTGTGAGTCCCCTTTTAATATTCTACCAGTTGCCATGCCCTTCCAGTACTGGTGCTCGCTATCAGCCCCATTCTGCCAGCGAGGTCGGCCCTCTCTGGCAGTGGTCCCCGATACTTCCCCATCTACCGGAGGCATTGGAAACTACTTGGGCGGGAAACTTTGCCTAATTTTGCTCAGAGGTCTCCTAGAGACATGAGGATCTTTTACGTGCCATAAATCTACAACACGGGACCCATGGCTTAAAGTCCCTCCCAGAGGACTTGTTCCCTGAATTTTTCCGACCTTAAAAATTCCACGACCTCTGCCAGGTTTGAACCTGCGTACCTTGAGTCATGAGGTGGGAACGTTACCCCTAGACTATGGAGGCCGCTCTTTAATTTAATTCTTAAGTGAGTGTGGTATGGTGACTTCCCTTTGTACAGCTTCTCTGTCACAAAAATGTTCGGCCAAAAGATGATCTTTAACCTTTAAGAGCTGAGCGACACCATATTGTGTCATGAAAATAAAGTCAAGGGGACGAATAACGCCATATGTCGTCGCGCAGTCCACACGTGCAGCCGGCTTTTTCAAATCTAATTTTAAGTTATAAATTCTTTTTCTACATACATGATTTTTGGTCACCAGCTTTATAAGTTGTCTCTCTTCCCACCTGCGTCGTCTAACGGACTGTTGGCTTCGTGTGGAAATCTTTGAAACATCCGGAAATCCAGTGTCCGACGTCGCACTTCACACACTTTGTCCAGACGGTTCTTCGTTTCCCACGCGAAAAGCACACACGACACCTCAATTGCGAAGTACAGGAAGTCGGCCAGTGATGTGGTTTGGCCTCCTATAATTGAGATATCTCCGATAAAACGGCAGGGGTTCGACCCCTGGGCCGCTGATGGCGAGGTGGACCCCTTCCAGCATGTTCCGCACAAGAGCGAGACGAAATTCTCTTTGTGACAACAGGATGTAACTGTTCAGATCCAGGAGACAGAAAAATAGTTTATTTGTCCATTTCCAGGTTCGACAACAGATGCTATAACTGTTTGCCACAGTTTGCCCACAGCTCCACCTGAATAATTATTCACACTCCTCTTACCATGCTGGTGTGGTGGTCCCCAGGTTGCCGACCAAGATGATGGTTCTTCGTCGAAATCGACCGCCAGTGACGTGGTTTGAGCTCCTCTAATCGAGGTATCTCCAAAGAAACGGCAGGGGTTCGACCCCTGGGCCGTTGAGGGCGAAGTGGACCCCTTCCAGCATGTTCCACATAAGAGCGAGACGAAATTCTCTGTGTGACAACAGGATGTAACTGTTCAGATCCAGGAGATGGAAAAATAGTTTATTTGTCCATTTCCAGGTTCGACAACAGATGCTATAACTGTTTGCCACAGTTTGCCCACAGCTCCACCTGAATAATTATTCACACTCCTCTTGCCACGCTGGTGTGGTGGTCCCCAGGTTGCCGACGAAGATGATGGTTCTTCATCGACTTCAATTTCTGATTCACTTTCTTCCTCGCAACTCTCAGAGTCATCGGTACAACAGTCGGAATCGGTGTCATTTATAAGCTGATTCTCAATTTCAGCGTCTTCCAAATACGAGGCCATGGTGAACAGCTAAACACAACGCTAGCCTTGAACGTTCTGACACTGCTCGGCTATATTTCAAAACAGACTACTTCTTGTTTGGCTATACGAGATAAAACAGTCAGTGTTTCTGCGAATGAGTAGACATCACCCACGCTCGGAACCTAACGAACTGGAGAATGATGAACGAAGCGTAAACATCCAACCTTGTAGCAACACAAGCCATAGTTAGAGCATGATGTCACCAGCAGGCATTCAGACTGCAGAAATGTTTTGTGCAGGAACTGTATGCATTTTTGTGCACAGACGTTTGAAATTGAGGAGAAAAATTATTGTTGGCATCAGTGCAAAAATTTTTAGAGATTTTAAAATTGGTAAATTACAATAACTGATTCTATATTCTTTCTAGATAAAAGAAGCGTTTATTTCGTTCGTTTATCACAAAAATAGTAGAAATCACAGCATTTTGAGTAACATGATTACAATTTTTATTACACTACAGTGGCGGGCATTTAAATTAACTCCGTCCCGCTACCACTACCGGAATTTAAATGGCCATCTCTTAAAGGTTAAGAGGGTCAAACAAATGGAAGTCGCTTTGAGCAAGACTCATCACCTGTGACAATTTAGGCTAGCATATTGTGTCCTTCATCATGGTAGCGATTGAGATGCTGTAATGCCAGACCCATTCTTTGCATTTTGTGTTGTGGGGTCAGCATGCATGGCACCCATCATGCAAGACTTTACAAAAACCTAACCTGTCATGCATTATGAGGTAGGCCATGCCATGTGAACAACCAATAGCAGTGGCTATAATGTCTATAGTTACCCTTCTGTAGGGAAGTCACCGCCTGTTTCCAACAGCAGTGCAAAGAATTTTATACTGCTGGCTTTCAGGGGCTGTGAAACGATGGGACAAGTGCCTCAATGTACAGTAAGATTATGTTGAGAAATACAAGCATTTTTCAAATCAGTACTCTTATCTGTTTAAGTTCTATATCCATTTGTAACTTACTTATTGACTTACCTACATATAAAGCGGCCTCCATAGTCTAGAGGTAACGTTCCCACCTCATAACTCGTAGTATGCGGGTTCAAATACCCGGCGGAGGTCGTCAAATTTTTAAGGGCGGAATAATTCAGGGAACAAGTCTTCCGGGAGGGACTTTAAGCCGTGGGTCCCACGTCATAGCTTTACGGCATGTAAAAGAACCTCATATCTCCAAAGGAGGTCACTGAGCCAAATTAACGGACGTTTCCTGCCCAACAGCAGTCTCTAATACCTCTGGTAGATGGGGGAAGCATTATAGATATCTCTCAGCTAGTAGAGCCGGTCTCACTGGCTGGGCGGGACTGATGGTAAGCACCAGTACCAGTAGGATATAGAGACTGGTAGAAATAATAGAGGGAAGCACAATGGACCAATACAGGTCTCAGAGCATGGGGAAACACACCCTCTCCAATTACTAACTACCTACATATAAAAAATTTTGGATGCAGGGTTTCTTATGGTCATTGCATTGCTGCAACTTGGATAATGTATTGTATGATTGATGTGTATGAAATCTCTAGGTAGTTAAGTTTTATAGTATAGTTGACTCATGACCTGTTCTATATCTGGAGGCTTATCACCAAATATGGATTCTTGTAACAAATAGATTGATTTATTGATTGATTGATTAATTGATTGATTAAAGTAAAATGCTGAGTAACAAGCATAAGTTGTAATACACAAAACATGAACTGGTTTGGTCTGTTTAATGAATACTCACAACTTAATAGCAATACTGATTTCCTGACTTAAGGGAAAAGAAAACAAAACTTGCAATTTGACCATTACCTGAATTTCCTGTTTTCAAATAACTGGTTAAGTTTCTGTTCGGCTTTTATACAAGAATTACCGAAGTTCTGACACAAGTCCAGCTTTTCAATACACAAATGACATACTTGCTTCGGCAAGGGATCAGTTCTATTCACCTGTCAAATGAAACAAAAAATGCTTGGTCAGAAGATCAGATTGTGAGACATATCTCTAACCTACACAGAATGAGACCTTCTGGACTGTGATACTGTACAGTCCTGTAAGTGGATAACATTTTGGAGGAACACACAACCTGCATCTTTGGTGTTGAGGTGTGTAGGGTAAGGCACTGGCTGGGTTACAGAGGCAGGCAGTGAGATGGTCACTCACATCCACAGGAAACAGAGGCCAAAGTAGGTAAATAGAACAATGAATGAACAATGACCATTTCCAGGGCCACAATATTGTTTCTCTCTTGTGACAAAAAAAAACAATACTGTGGTTATGAAAATGGTTAGTGATATTTACTCACACCACCATGAAATCATCCTCAGAATACTGACTTTTGATAACAGGGTGAACCATTAGAAGATGACATCAACATTACAGAATGACTAGACATAACCACGCAAGTTCATCTGTGAACAAAATATTCACTCTTCATCTTTGATATCTTGAATCACTTCTTTTAAAGGCACACAAAAACCCAATATACTCACATGTGTTGGTAGCCATGTATTAATCTTGCTACGTAAGCCACGCTGGAGACCTGTTTCACTAAAAATGTACACCATACTTTGTCTGGGCAATGCACAAAGTCTGCATAGTTGACCAGGATGATCAGAGTCTCCATCACTATCAGGATGAACCAGCTCCACTGCTGAGCTGACATTAGTATTAGGCTGACTTTTCTCATCATAGATGGCAGTACTTGTGGGTGATTTATGTTTCATGTTATTCGCAGTCACCGAATCTATTGAGCTAACTGCTGTTTTGGACAACATACCTAAGGGAAAAAAACTGTGTTTAACAGAATGAAAGGTGAAGATTAAATGAATGAAGAACTCACTCCTCAGCTTCAATATTCAAAAATTTATAAATGGTGAAGTATTATTTGGTTTTTCTAGTTGTGAACGAATTGTTTATTCTTATGCTCTTGTAGTCTTGAGGACACATGATATGTGACTTTTCAACTTGAAAATTAATTACAAAGCAGCCTTAACAACAATGAAACTAACCTTTATCCATATTTGTACTCTCCAACATCTTTACTATATTGGGTGTAGTCAGATTCACAAATGTTGAAGTTCTTACAGGCTTAGAGGGCACACAACTGTTCTTACATGATTTATCTTTTTCCTCCTTAATGCATAATACCATGGAACTATCTGTATATGCTGGTTCAGGCTCATATCTGCTATTTTTCAAGTTGAAATCTTCAAGCTTTTGCTTAGGTTTATGCAGTATTACACTAGCTGACATTTCTTTCGCATGACTCTTCTCTCTGGAAGATGCTGTACATTTCACAGAATTATCAGCACCAACTGGAATACCTTTTTGTGGCTGTTCATTTGAAGCCTTAGATGTGTACTCTGCAGTTCTAGTACAAACTGTAATGTCCAATGAATCTGTAGGAGTTTTACATTTAATAGTTTCCATGGAGCTCTTAACTTTGGGAACCTGACCTGCATTTTGTTTTGTACAGTTTCGTCGTAATATGTCTCCCAGATTTCTCTTACAGCCTGAAGGCCCATAAGAATTAGAAGCAACATTAGGAACATCTTTGTGTTCTATATATAAAGAATTGTAACATTTCTGCTCATTATTTACATGGCTGCCTTCCATATCTTCACCCTTATGTCCTATTTTGGCATCCATCTTCTGTTCAGTAATTTCTTAATCTTTTTCAGATCTAAAATTTTCCACTGCTTCCATATCATAAGTATCAGAATTTTTGATACCATGCACAACCCCAGAAGGTTTCATAAGTGAAAGTGATATATCCCCTACAGCTTTTGCTGATGAAATATCCATAGCCTTTTCAACATTTAAGTGTAGAACTGATCATACTTTTTGCCTGTTTTGGAAACTTGTCTATTTTTTCTCCCTTCCTGCCTTCTCAATGAAACATTTACATGAAATAGGCATAAAGACACTGTCTGTCAAATTTGCGGGATCCATGACATTCACCAATTCTTCTGAAACTCCTGTTTCTCTGTATACATCACCTTCATCCTGACTTCAGTCTTATTTAACTCTTCTGTGACTGGAAATATACATTTTAAAGTCACAAATATATATATATATATATAAATAACTTGCAGCTAAATAGGGCACATCAGGTTTTGGTCAATGCTGCTGGGCTGAAAACATAAGAAAAACATGGAAGTTTCATTAAATACTTAGGAGATTAGAAGCAAGGGCAGAAGAAGCTACGTAATGGTAATGTCTGATCACCAGAATGAAAAACATTATTATATAAAAACACAGAAGCAAATCCTTCAAAACTGTAACAAAACGTGAATATTCGCGAAAGAAAGTAACAAATCAAAAGTACATTCACAAAATACTAAGGGCAAAACATATTTTGTAAATGCTTACTACTGTTCAGTTCTGTACCTTCTATCTTCCCAGTTTCTATCTAAGAATGCAAAGGTGTACAACTTGGCCTCTCATTTCATTTATTTACCTTCCATAAATCCTGTCAAGAGTACAATCTCATGCAGATGTGGAGATCATCCTAGTTACAGTCACAACTAAGAATTACAGTTGTTATGCAACAGCATACACATTTGTAGTACAATACCGATAAATGTATACAATATAATAAAATAAGTTAATTTTAGTAGTAAGAGTAATGGCAAATCTTATACAATTTTTACAGTTTTATACAAGTCTATTAATTAAAAATTCAATAGTTAAAACACAATGTCATTAATGAGTTTTGTATAACATACATTAATAGTATAATAAATTGAAATAAAGACCTGTATACAGTGATATAAAGATTGTGTATATCTAAAATAACTAAAAACTAGAACACAGACTGACAATTTTGTTTTCTTTTAATTGTAAAGTAAGACAGTTACTCACATCTTAAAAAGATTCATTACAAAAATATTCCTGTAATGAATAAAAAGAATGTAAATGCAAAAATTGTTTTAATTGTACCTCAAAACTCTTAGTGTCACTTGATATATCCGTAATATGTTGTGGTAGATTATTATAGACCTTTGTTCCTAAACAATAAACTCCCTTTTGGTATTTACTCAAATTTACAAGAGGCTAATGGAGATTATTTTTTGTTGTCTGGTATTTATTCTATGAATCTCTGAGTTTACTATGAATTTGTTTCTGCTTTTTATCACAAAGAGCATAAGAGATACTATGTACCAAGATGCCAGAGGCAAGATTTCTAATTCTCTAAATAAGTTTCTGCACAAATCCCTCCTTCTGCATACATACATACATACATACATACATAGATACATAATTTCACAGATCCATTGTCCAGAAACCGGACCGGATATTGAATTCGTCAGCAAAATGACATTGCAAAATGAAATCTAGTCTCAACAATTAAAATATTCAAGAATTATAAAATGAAAAATACAATAATAAAATACAAAGCAGTCATATAACAAATCTAGATAATACATAATCCTGGAAAGACAACAATAATGTATTATGCTTGCCTGTATGACATGTATTTATCTACCAAATAAAATGCATTTAAAATAAGATAATCTTTTAGCCTTTGTTTAAAAGTATTAATATTGTCTTTCAAAGAATATATACTGTATGGCAAGTTATTAAATATTCTAATGGATGAAAAATGCACACTCTTTTGAATGGAAGATAATCTCACCAAGGAAACATGTAGTTTATTATGCCACCTACTACTTGATTTGTGTATGCCATTATTCACCTGATACATATCAGGATTTTTGAGTACAAACAAGACTATGGAATATATATATAAACAGGGGATAGTAAGTATGCCCGTTGTCTTAAAGCCTTCCCTACATGAACTCCTTGGCCCTAATCTTAACAAAACTCTTAATGCTCTTTTTTGAACAGTAAATTATACTGTATGCATCCCAGCATAATTCTAATTACATTCTTTTGCATTCTAAAATTGTTTATACTTTAGCGTGAGTTACCCCAAAAGGGTAAACCATAATTTATAATAGAATTAAAATAAGAGTGATAAACCATTTTTAAGGTATTTATAGATTTGTATGGTTTAAGTGATCTCATTATGTAGCAGACAGCACTTAGTTTTGAACTAATATATTCAATGTGGTAATTCCAGCTCATTATATCATCAATGAATATTCCAAGAAATTTAATAATGGATATAGATGTAAAGAAGAAAGCAGTCTTCTGGGATTTGGCACCGTGTATATGTGGTGTTAACCGACGTTTCGGAGGAATGTATCGCCTCCATCTTCAGGGTAGAAGAAAAAATATAAGAAATCTGCAAGCCAAGAGACCGTGAGAACCGGTAAAAGCAGACTGTGTGGAAATATACACAGCTATGTGAGAACAGCGAGGGTAGGGGGGAAGGGCAAGTATACAAGTGAAAGCAGTAGTGTGGGAGGGGTAGGGGAAGGGAGCTGGGACAAGCATGGTTTTCGTGTAGGGGAGAGAAAGGCAAGGTTAAAGGCTGGGCACTAACCCGTAAGCTGAGGGGGGGGGGGTTGTTATGTTGGTTGGTCATGGCCTGTGTGGCCTTCTGGATCTGGCGTCATATCCCGGTGGGGGATTTTTAAGAGAACAGATGAGAGGTTTCCAAGACTTGCTGAGACAAAAACCCCCCTCTCTGTTCATATTTCCTGGATGCAGTTCAATCTCAATTGCCTCCCTAATGATGCGATCCATATAGCGGGTCTTGGTGGCGAGGATGGAGGTATTCTGAAGCTGAATGCGGTGTCCCAGATCGATGCTGTGTTCAGCTACGGCCGACTTGTCCGGTTGTTCGAGACGGATGTGCCGCTGATGCTCCTTCAACCTCATGTCCACGGAGCGGCCTGTCTGCCCAATATAGACCTTCCCGCACTCGCATGGGATACTGTATACACCTGGTGTCCTTAGGCCCAGGCTGTTTTAACCGGCCGGAGGAAATTGGATAATTTGTATGGAGGCAGACCCACTGCTTTGATGTTGTGTTGGGACAGCACTCTGCTGATACGGTTGAATATGGTCCCGACATAGGGAAGGAAGGCGACTGAGCCCGGTTTGTCTTCAGGGCGGCTGATGTTGGCCTGACGGTTGAGAACTCTGTAGATCTTGAGACTCTTCTTCCATGTCCTGACCACCTCATACTTCACCTTCAATGGCCAGTTCTATGAACAAACCGATGGTGTGGCAATGGGCTCACCACTCTCTCCGGTCATCTCTAACCTCTATATGGAGGACTTCGAGGAGAGGGCACTTGACTTGGCCCACACAAGCCCCGCTGCTGGTTTCGCTACGTGGACGACACCTTCGTCATCTGGTCA